TCTTCATGGACACTAGTGTACATAGACATGAGTACAATGGATTCAAATGCAACTTTCTGCTGCCTGCAAATGCTGTTTATGCAAAGAAAGTTGGTTTGTTTTAATGTACGGAGGGATCTATTAGAGATGCATGAACTGTCCTTCATTGCAGTGGCATGGTTAAATCACAGATTCATCGACTTCAAATGATCCAGAATGCAGAGGCACGGCTTCTTACAGGAACCAGGAAGCATGACCATATAAGGCCTATGCTGGTCAATACACTGGCTGCCTGTTATGTATAGAATAGATTTTAAGATTTTTTTATTAACTTATAAAGTTTTAAATGGGTTAGCTCCCCCTTATCTTCAGGATCTTTTAAAACTTCAGTCTGTGTCCAGAACCCTCAGATCAAACAATCAGCTTTTACTTATAGTCCCTCGGACCCGAATAAGGAAAGGAGATCGGGCTTTTTCTGTTGTTGCTCCTAATTTATGGAACAATTTGCCTTTTCAGATTAGATCTGCTAGCAGCCTGGATCATTTTAAATCGCTTCTCAAAACTCACTTTTATTTGTTGGCTTTTAACTGAAGCAATTTTTGATATTCTGTTTTTATCTATTTGTGCTACTGTCGTTTCTGTGCAGCACTTTGGTGCAGTTTTATACCTGTTTTAAAGTGCTATATAAATAAATTTGACATTGACATTGACATTGTTGTTCAAATCTGCTGTCACATTGTCACTGCTTGGATAACAACCAGGAAAATGATCACCTCTTCTCTGTCTAGCGTTTTTTCCTAAACTTCTAAAAACAATGAGCCATAACATAATATTCAACATCTCTGGATCCAAAGTATTTTCTTTAAAGGAATTTTTCCCATTGAAATTCAGTCTAACCTCTTAGAAACACTAAAATAACTTTTTTTCTCGATGCCTTGCATCACTGACATTCTTTTTCCTAAAATATAGAGACCTCTATCTGTAATGGATTGTTCATGCTGCCATGAGACCTAAATAGGCAAAAAGAAAAAAAAAAAAACTTAAGATGTTATGGATCGGGTCCTTGTTTCTCCAACAGTTTGTGTTGTTTCCCTTAGCAGCAGATACAAACCAGATGCTGGAATGCGCAATTTCCGAGAATCACTGATAGTGTTATTATTTACAGATCACATTTAATAATGCATAGCAGACTTTTTTCCACATCGTTTCATCATTATTGTTTACTTTCATTTAAAGCACATAAATCCTGCTAACTAAAGATACACTCACCCGAACTCTCTGTGCTTGTTGTACTTGTGTCTGCATAGAGTTGTTCAAACTTCTAGAAGCAAATAAAATGCTTCCATAAAGATGAAGGTCTGAACATCTGGTCAGGACACTGTTGTGAATCTGTGTGTGCCTTATTAATGTTAATTTGGGGGTTTGAGTCATTTCCTCTCTTTACCTGTATGAAACAATGTCAAACAGTTTACCTTCTGTCTCTCAGTAAAATAAAGTGGTTTCAGTAATCTTCTTGATGCTGCCCCAGATTTGAGCTCTCTTAAATTGCAATCTGTTATACATTTGATTTAATCTTAAGTCATGTTCTTTTGTTTCAGGCAAACTCTGCTGTCCTTTTAGCACCTTCCACTTTCATAGCTGATCCCACTTGTGCATCACTTCGACCATACAGGACCATGTTTAGAAGAACTAAAATATCCATCCATTTTTCTTTATTTTCCCCGATTAAAGAATAATTTAAGATCTTCATTTAATATCTCATTGCCAGAAGCAGACCTGAAAAGCACTTCTGAGCTAAAATCCTCAGTTAAATTCGAAAGGTTTTTTTCCACCCTTCAACAATGTGTTTAATCAACACCTTCATATCACTGTTAACTGCACATGTGTGATTAAAAAAATGAGAGACCTAGTTTTTCATCATCACGCTGACGGCACTGGAGTGCCAGCTGTAAGCATCGACATGCACAGGCCAACCAGCAACGGACTTCCACTGTAATTACACGCCGACGGCAGATTAATTCCTCTGCCAAAATAGTCTGGAGAGAGAAATGAGGAGAAAGTGGAGGAAATTAGGACAACACGATGAAACTCCAGGAACAAGATTTTTTTTTTTTATTAGTACAACTTCAGATCATGTAAAGCTACCATACAAAAATATTTTATGGCACAGTTTGTTTGTTTTTAATTGCTCTCAGAAGTTGACGGATCTAACTTGACATTTGCCACTTCATAAGCAGCCTCCTTGCCAGTACAAAAATAAAGATTTTGGTAAAAAGCAATGCAAATATCCAAATGTTTCCAACTTTAGCTTCTAAAAACTGAAAAACCAGAAGAGAACTAAAGACCAGAGTTCACAGAGAGCATGCAACAGGGGACTGTAACATGATTTTAACTCTACCTTTGCAGCTTACTGTTTCATTAATCTAACACAGGCCCACTCAAGGCATGAGTCACTGTGTGATTGTTCTCAGCAAAATAGCAAAAGAGGGAAATGTAGGTATCTGTGAACTAAACCTTTCGTGAAGTTTTTTTCTTACAACTTGGGCTGTGATTGTATCAGATTTACTGTGTTTCATGGGCTGTTGGGTGTGATTTCCTTCCAAATTTATGAAGCGTAAAGCTGCAGAACAGGTTCCTACGTTTCTGTAAATAAATAAAATGTTTAAAACGTTTCCGTATCTTTGTGGTTGTGATGCAAAAGCCAAATAAGTATTGAGAGGCTCTTGCACCAATTATTTGCTAAACATTATGTGTAAAACATGCATGTATTCAAGATGATTATGATTGAGAAACATATGCAGAAACTAGAGGTTGATCCAAAATAGTGATAGTAACAATATTATTGTCTGATTGATACCAGCGTGGCAAAACCAACACCTACAGCTACATATTCTCTCCTTAAATGTATGTATTTTTGTATTCGTTTTTTTTTCAAGTCTACCTATTCTATTTTTATTTTGTATACATAAGAGTGGTTGATATTTCAGATAGTTTCCTTTCGTTTATTATTTTGAGATAAGTCCTCCCTGAAGATGCATCCGTCGTTTGGTTGTGTGGCTCCTTGACAGGGGCAACATTTAGAGAAACAATAAAGAGAAAGAAAGTAACTCTGAAGGAGCAACAATGTTGACAAAGGGTCAAAATCAGTCAACCAAACAACAAATCTGCCCTTGGAAGAGTTGCTAGAAGAAATCATTTGTTGAAAGAAATCCTGTTTTTTGCATTAAGTATAACACTTTTCAGCCAATTTTTGCCTGGTGCTCTTTGGCATAAATCCTGTCACTACTCAGTGAATTTTCCAGAATACGAATAATTGAATCTGCACCCACAATGTTTTGCTGAACTTGGTAATGAAAATCCCTCGGTGAAGCAACATTCATCTTCACCCCTGAAGCCAAAGTAATTATTTGTGGTAGCCTGAAGAAACAAATTAGATAATGATTCTGTATCTGGGTCTGAAAATGATACATAAAGAACAAACCTCTGATACAGAAGGGAGTGTGGGTTTGTTTCCAAAGAAAAGAACTTGAATAATTACACTCAATCTGGAGCTAAACAGCCCCATCAATAAGCATGACTCAGCGCCTGTCCTTGTTAGAGAAAGGGTTGTTTCTCGTCACAGATCCTCGGAAATTATACTGAAGGTCAAAATTACTCAGTCAGGACCAATGTAAAGATGCTTTCATTCTGATTTTTAAAATGAACACTTAAAGCTGCAGCAGTGAGGATACTTTAATGCAGTTGCGTGTTTAAAATAAATATTTTTTCTTCATTTAAGAAATGTGTTCATTTTATCTATTTAAACTGCTGTTTATAAGCGAGAACACATAATTGTTTTGGGTAATCTCAGAAACATAACTTTTTGTTTCTAAATAAACAAAACAACATTTCCACTTATATAATTTTAGGACACAATTATGCTAGCAGTCTGGTTTTAATTAAGATTTCCAAAGTGTGGAGCTGAAGATTCAACAACATCAGAGCAGCAAGAATGTTGGCTTTCTCAGGTTTGTACCTTTTCACACATTATTTGTAGCATTATATAATCAATCATTTCTCACTATGCTGCACAGATAAACAAATATAAATACACAGACATCATATTTTCATTTAATTGCTACATCTAAATGTCTCAAAATATGAAAATGTCATTTACATGATAGTTGAAGCATTGATGGACTGTCCTGAGGACAGACTTAACTTATGCAAGAAGGAAATTATACATCAATTTTCTATAAAATATGTCTAAATATTTAATGGAATTCAGGTCTTGTGCAAGCTGATTAATCACCTTGTATTAGATAAATACGCACCTTGTATTAGATTATTTTAATTGTTTTCGATATATCATAAATATATCGAAAACAATAAAGGCTGTTTGATGTAAAAAAAATAAAAAATCTCCTCTCCACATGTAACTGCTAGATTGTGATGATGGGGGAAAATGTATTTATTTATTGTTTATGATCTGTTTGTAATACTTGTTTGCATAATACAATTCAATTCATTATAAATGTTACAAATTTCATCAAGTTATTATTATTATCATCATTATTACTATTATTATACACGTACATACAAAATATCCCACCTCAGAACACAAAACCTGGGAATTACCAGTTTCTTCACAATAAGAGCAAATGGTACTCTTCTTCAGGTGATTTAAACACGGCATTGTCATAACAAAATTTTAGCAACAAATCTAAAAATGAATGAAAGTTATTCTGGGCATATTTATTTTATATGGATTCAGGAAATTGCATCCTAAAACACCAAATAAAAAGTTATTTTTGAGGAGATGGTGCAGATATGGGTACCAAAACTATCTGTAGCCCACGTGCCCACATTTTCTTGAATACGCCTCTGGTAAGGATGACCCACCTATATGGGATTCAGACTTAAAATCATCTAAAAATTGTAAAACAACGTAAAGCAAACTCACTATACCAATTATATCCTCACAGCTATAAATAAATCACAAATAAATTAAATGAATAAATGGATACAACACTAACATAATGTACTTTTCAGACAAGCTGGTATATTTAAAACAAGAGCTTTGGAACAAACTTCTTAAGGAACAAAATAAATACAGTCAACAATCCAAGAGCTCTCACTCTGACAAGTCTTTACACGGGACTATACGTGGGTACCATTGATTTAATCTGCTTAAAGGCCTCCGGGCCACCGTAGTGTTCCAGGATCTGCAGAGTCTCCTCAATCAGGTCACCGATGCTCTCTTTTTCCCTCCGGCTCTCGATGGCATCGCCGAGGTTTCTCTTCTTGTTCTTGAAGAGGTTGAAAACGGGCAGAATCTGCTTTAAGTAAGGCACCAGCGCTATACCGACCCCCTCTGCGGACATCACCAGATGCTGTATGACTCTCAAGGTGGTGCACATCACGTCATGGTTTTTGGTGTTCATGGCGTTCCGGATGGGGATGATGAGCTTGGGCAGGACCGGGAGGATCCTGGGCCCTCCCCGGTTCAGCATGTCTCGGATCCCCTCTCGGGCGAGGAACTTGTACGGGTAAACAGTCTCACAAAGGCCGTGGAAGAGCAGCGGCAGGTAGTATTGGTAGTCCAGTTTCTCGATGTCCACCTTCCACGCTATGGCATTGCCTCTGTTGTTGTGGTCCACGGAGATCGGGAGCTCCCTGCGCTCGTAGTAAACCCGGAAGGTGGTGGGTTTGGACGGACGCTTCTGAAACACCCCGGTAGATGGAGGCGCCCCAACCACGGAGTTCTTCATGAAGGCCTTGACGGTGAAGCCGTCAGCTTTCAACTCGTTCTTGGTTTTCGACATGTCACAGCTCCTCCCTCAGCCGAGCTGAAAAGATAAAACTGTTGAAAAAAGCTGACGTTGTTCCGATAAAAATGTAGCGCCCGCAAAACTTCAGAGTCGTTTGTTTTTCCATGGTTGCTAAGGAGCTTCGTTTCAAATAGGACCGGCATCTGGTTACCATAGAAACGCCGTACACCGAAAAAGAACCGGGGACGTCTCCTGGTCTCCGGATATCACTCCGCCAAGAATATAGTTCCTAAAACGATTAATCAGCTTTTCATTTTTGCTGCCGACTGTTGCAAAATGCTAAGTTTCAATGCAACCTGAAAGTTGCATTTCAAGGTCCTCAGAAGCAAAGTTCCGTTTCATTTTAATGAACTATATGAAAAAACACAGAAACAGAAGAAACCTTAAAATGAATCTTATGTTGAATACATAAAGCCTAAAATAAAAGAAACATTCCTATGGTTTTATGAATAATTGTATCAAGCTTAAGTTAAACTTAAGATGAATTAAGTAATTAAAACGGAGCCATGCACTTCTGGGGATTATTTGCAGCAGGTCATTATTATTATTAATTTATATATGAACTAAAATACATAAAGTTTTTCTGCATTAAAACATTGTTAACGTAAACACGTGTATAAAAAAAAACTGTCTCATTGTACAGTTGAAAAATGAGACAAATTTTCATCTGAAAGCTTAATGAGCAAAGAAGCTGATGTCTGGAGTCCTGGTTATAAATCGCAGGTAAATCAGGTAAATCCAACACACCTTTAGATCAGGTTTGAAAACTGTCCTACCAGCTGCATGAGACATTTTCTTGCACTCTTTGCATGTTTCGCTCCAAAACCTTTTAAAAGCCATGTTTGAATCATTTGGTGGAGAAAATCTTCAACTCCCCAAACAAAAATGTGAGAAATCGTCCAAAAACAGGCCATATGTTTTTCATTATTGTCTTAACTTAACCAGAACACTTTTCTAGCATAACAAACTTCTGAGGCCTGCTGAATATAATTGCTTTCACAGTTCTTGTAAAGTGCATCAAGTTGTTCATAAACTCAACCACCACCAATGGGATCTCATTTCAGCTTTTCCCCTTTTTATCACCTTTACAACCAGAAAAAAAGCTTTGATACTTGAAATGAGCTTGATGTGAACTCACATTATTATTTTTTTTTAAAATTGTTTTGACATTAGAGAACTTTAATAAATGTTAATTTGACAGAAAAGAGAAGTAAAATATGCATGAAATTACTCTGTATCAGGAGTTAAACCCAGGACAACCACATTGAGTGCTATGGCCACCCATCGCCACCCACATATACTTTTTAGAAAAAAATAACATTCAACACCAATGTATTGATTTTCTAATTATTGATCAATTCTATCAATAATTAGAATTGGTAGAATTCTAAACTATTCTATCAATTCTATCAATATATATATTGTTTCGATTGTCTGAACTGTGCTTTACATAATGAAGGAATATGAGATAAATGAATGTGATGAGTTATTGTAAAATGTATGTTGATGGGAAAGAAGAAAATATAAAAATTTGAATTTAAGACAATGAACACATTTTATATCCCTAAATAATCACAGAAACATCCTTTTGAGTAATATGTGAGTGAGATCCTAATTTCAGTTTGAGCTTTCCAACCTATCTGTCATCTTGTTATGCTTAATGGCAAAAAAAATCATAAGATCCACAAAAAAAAAAAAAAAAACACTGCAGGATATCATGCAGATTCCCAGTGATCATCATTGCTGTCAGGAAAAGCAGAAGTGAGTCCTATCTGCTTGTGCTGTGCTGCCTGCACTCAATGAGACATAAAACAGGTCAGAGTGAAACCGACTGTTTTTAAGAGGCTATACCCATCAACACTGTGTGCAGAAATACCCATAGCCCAGCTTCAGAGTGTGTTTCTGTGTGTAGGCGTGTTGTGAAAAAAAAACGTGTGTGCGGAAAATGCAAGCGCAGTGTGTGAATAAAGACGATACCAGTGAGTCATCAGAATATGATCGGTATAGTTTGCTTGTCCCTCTTTTTATGTTGCATTATTTAAAAAAGGAATAGTCTAAAACTAATCTGTGTCATCCGCAATGAGGAGGAATATTCATTTAAGTTTTTCTTCTTAGTTGAAAGAAAATTGCTTTTTTTTGTATCTCTATTAAAAAAGAATAGAAATGGCTTGTTGTTGACAAACCTTCAACCTTAGACCCCATTCAGTGGTATCAAGATGAAAAAATAGAAACCAACCTAAAAAACTAAGCTAATTAGTTATCATAAGATGAAAAGTTTTGCTAAACTAATAAATAGTATACAGTTTAACCACATTGCAATCCTACTTTAACACACCGGCTACATGTGCAGTGTTTTCCTGTAAAATTGGTGATTGTCTTTTATAGGTGATGAAACCACAAAATCCGTGTTTGTTAGATAAGCTTAATATTTAAGAAAAATAATAAAATGACAAATTGTTGACAGTTTACAAGCAGACATTTCTTCACTTCCTCAAGGAGGACAAACTAAAAAAGATTGTATAGACATTTTTTTTTTTTTTACTGAATCTACTTTGAGAAAAATGCTTTATCACTTTACAGCAAGGATTTTTGTTTTGTTTCATCTCACTGTTTACATTAGTGGCACAAAACTGTCCAAATGTACTTTGGTATGAAGAAAACAAGGATTTGACATCTGACATGTGTTGAAATGAATGCCACTAAGACATTTTCATTTACTTGTGTGCAAAATGTAGTAAAACATCAATTTGTAATTATTTCTAAAGATGTTTTTGGCACTATTGATCTTTATTGACAGGAAATAGGCAGAGAGATGCAGCAAAGGTCACAAGGTCAGAAATCGAACTGGCTGCGACAAGAACTATATCATCCTCATATGGGATTGATGCTCCAGCTATAATCAATTTAATAGAAATGTGTACATCTTTCATAAAGCAGAGCATTGCTTACAAAAACTGAACAAAATTCTCCTTTCCCGATGAGTTTGGATCTTATTTCCTTCCTGTGCACCTGGATGAAAATAACAACAGAAGGAAAAAAAATACTGATTGTGAGCAGAGAATTCTGATAAAGCCAAAAATAAAAAGCTGTTGTAACCATTGAGTTTCCAATAATGCCCCACTGTCTGTTTTTATTGTCAGGAAAATGCAGTTGTAGGAGACTCTCCTTTTAAAACAACGATGAACAGAAATCCCTGGAGCCTGCTGCTGGTGCCAGATTTGTGTATCGTGATTCTTTGATTAGAGGCTTTCCATCTTGATCAATATGTGCATTTGAAACAAGCAAATCAGGTTGCAATGTTATTTTGCAAGTAAATGAGCACGGCCAGGAAACCAAAACAAAGAAGAAAACATCCATTGTTGCTTCATGTTTGACCAAAACTGCATTTATTTTTTGATGTTAACGTCATTTCTTCCCTGGTTACATCTTGTCTGCTGTAATACAGTTTCTCAGGGTGCGTTGATATTTTATGGAATATTTTCTACTCTGACGGACAGACGAATCAGTGTAATGTTGTGACTCACTGTTTACTGCACAGTGTTGATGTTTTTTATGTGATCCAGAAGTAAATGGCTGCACAAAGTCAAGTATGTTGGATCAAAGTCAGAGAACAGGACATTCAGAGACATCTGTTTTTATTCCTAAAGCCACCAGAGAGAGAGAGTTAAAAGACACACATATACAGAAATGGGTTTAAAGTAAATGCTCGGCCTCGCTGCTAATTTGGGGTAGAAAAAAATTAGACTGACTAGTAAGAACGAAACTGGAATATTTCATTGAAGCAAAACAAGTTTATGACAAATATGCCAAAAACTAATTTTTCTTTTAAGCAGAGTGGAAGACCTGAGTCATATCTGTGGAGAGGGAACAATTACGCAAAACTGCCTCACCTTTTATTGAGCAAGACATCTTGAGTAATTGAAGAAATAACACTACTGCTACTTTAAAGAGCTGAGCCATTTAAACGATATAATTTATTTATTTCGAATTTTCTTCAAAAATCAGGCTGACTAGTGTTCTTTTCATTAACTTATGTCATGTTTATCTTATTTTGAATCAAACAAAAATTAAATAAAAATAGATTGTCAGGTTACTGTTCAGTAACTTCAGACACCAATAGTTCATGGGCTTGAAGATGATGAGATGAAGCAAAATCCTAAGCATGTTGAGTTTTTATTTTAAATGACATACACTGCAAAAACACAAAGTCTTGTGTTTTTGGTCTCGTTTCCAATATAAAAATCTGGCAGATTATTTCACTAAGCTAATAAGATATTTGCAGTCAAAACTAGACAAATGACCCCCATCTCTCCACCTCTTATTTGACTCTATGACATCCAGATTAGCAGGGTGGGCTGCACAGTGAGATAGTTGTTAGCATTGTTGCCTTGCAGCAAGAAGGTCAGAGATTTCTGAGTGCATGATCTTTGGGTTTCTGCAGGTTTTGAATTTTGTGATGAAGTTGCTTGATTTTGAATTGAAGCAGTATATGTAGTTTAAAGGCCAGTTGTGGCAACATTAATGGGTCTTGGCATGAAAAGAAGAGAACTGCAAACACCTTCCAAAGCAAAAGGAGAATTAAAGCAAAAGCTTACAGTAAGTGACCGTCTTTAACAGTTTTACAGTGTGATATTAAATGGCTGCACTATTCAGGTATTTATGGAACAGGTAAAGGATGAATTGCAGCTGAAGGATGACGGCTCACAGCGGGCGAAGGTTTGTTAATCAAGAAGAGCTGGAAAAAGCGGGTAAAAGAAATAGGAGAGAACAAGCATAACTAACCGTAATTGGCAGTACCTGCCAGGGTTAGACATAAAGAACTAATCTTTTCATAGCTGTGGACAACTGAGTTTAAACGCACAACTTCAAGCTTATTAAGCCTTTTTTACTTTCCTTCAGATATGCTCCTAGAAGATCACTTCTAATCTAAACCAAAAATATTTGTCACAGGTTGCTTATCTGCACATAGCAATTCATCATGCCTCTTCTGAGATCCGAATCATTCTGCCTTTGGTTCCTTCAGCTTCCAGAGACATTATGAGCCGTATCTTTCATGTACTGACGGGATGTGACTCCCTGGGGGATTCACTTTGTGCAGCTCAAAGATGAGACTTCCTCTTGTAGATGAA